TTAATATTGCCTTGAGGAATGGTGAAGACTTCAATATCAAGTACAATGGCATGACGCTGACGCCCAACCTGGAAGAGAGTTGTGCAATCCAACTGAGGTGGCTGATGATGGTCTCTTCGGTACGATCTAGTTTGGTGCTGGAGGACTTGAGTTACGGGAGGCCATCTTGGGGAGCATCTAACTATGCTACTCCATAAAATTCCCCATGTTTTTCTTATACTTTAATCTTCAACCTAGGTCCTGGCCATTTTAGCATCCCTTGCTGATCACCACAGGACACTTCGTGTCTTTCAGTGGAGAGTTCTGCTCAGAATGGTTGCATGGCATGCACCGTCGTAAAGAAGTGTCTGACTTTGATTGGCTGTTTTGACCAATGCTTTACCAGTCACCAAGGGTCATCATTCAAGGACGTATTCTTGATCTGGAAGGCAAGCTGGACCTTCAGCAATGCATGCAGTTGTCCTCTCAAGGCATTGTTGAAGCAGGACAAAAAGGCACCTTGAGATAATCTTGGCATGCTGTTCTAGGCACCCCATACTTCTTTTTCAAATGGAGGATAGATACCCTTTGTCCTGCTCTAAGGAAAGTGAGAATCATTCTTCTTTAAAAATAATTGATGTATCTGTATCTCATGATGTGAATGGACATGTCCTCTGCAGCACGCTTTCTTGAAACTTAGAGAGGTTTGAATGGTGGCACAGAGCAAAGTGAATCCACTGCTGTGCTGATGTTGGGGGCACACAACTCAAGATTTAATCTCCAAAATTTTTCCTACCACCTCTTTCTTCAGAACTCAAGATATGAGAACACAGAGGTTAAAAACACTGTCAAAATACCACATAAGCAAGTTTTGCTATGGAAACCATCTTTGAGAGTGAGGAACTCTTTATCAATAGTACACGGTCTGCACTTGACTCTTTTCATGGAGGAACTATTCTCTCAGCCTACAGGAAAGACTCCAAATGAGCAGGTATATAATGTTATCATCATGTTCATGAAACGAGTGTTTGATACTGCTGTCCTCCTCTTTTTCATAGCGATCTCTTCTTCAGAGAAATCCTTGGGAATAACTGTTAGTCTCTGGCTGAAGAATGTCACCCAGGTGCCGGGTCTGAATTCCTCACAACGTCAAATAGTCTCCAGTAATCTGTTCACATTTGGTTAGTTGTGGTGAAGCTAGGGGTGTCTTTCAAAGTGATGCAGCAAAGGATGCTTAACTGAGTCAGCGATGATATCTTTCTTTTCACTAGAGAGGTGTTTTTCTAAAAGTCTTGTGCAATAGAGTTACGCTAAAGACAATCTTAGGTTACATGTGTGCAAACTGACTTGATCTTAAGGATTGCCCTGACATTGCTCATGTGGTGGAGCACTATAAGCCAGATAGGCTAAGAAGGGGTGTTCCAACCTGAGGAAGCACTTCTCCATGAAACAGGCAAATTCCATTGCAATCACTTGACCCCTTTCAAAAAGCCGGGCACTTTAACCAGGACTTCCATACCAAAAAATTAACGATTTGTGTCTCTCAAAGAAATGTTTGGCCCATGCTGGATGGATGGCATGCACCGTGCTACAAGAAAGCAGGACTTGCATCGGGAGTCATAGCCATCATTCATAAGTCATTTGGGCCAACTAGGCATGGGACTTTCAATTCTGAATGTAAAAGTTCTCTGAACCAATATGAGTACCTTTTCACTTGAGAATCATATGAGACTGGAGCAATGAGAGTCCACAGATGATCTAAGCCTGGTGTTAGATGATGTACATGGTCTCCTCTAAACTCAGGGAGAAGAGGAATTTGTTGAGCATGAGAGAAATTGGAAAGGCAGACCATGAATACATGTTAAAGCATCCTTTCGCTAAACATGTGCCACACGATGGCCTTAGTAGAACATCTTAGAAATCAGAAAAGGTGGAATGGTAATACAATCTAGAAAAGAGGGATCCTGTTATATTGAGAGGGCATACACACAAAGAAGTAGATATACACTTGTGAATTCATGAACACTCTTGGAAGCTCAAGTGGTGAAACAGGAGAAAAAGGTGCCTTGAGATCATCTTGACATGCTGTCCTGGGGGCCCCATACTTCTTTTTCAAATGGAGGGTGAATACATTTTTGTCCTACTCTAAGGAAAGAGATGTTCATTCTTGTTTAAAAATAATCAACGTATCTGTGGCTCATGATGTGAATGGACATGTCCTCTGCTGCACCCTCTCCTGAAACTTATAGAGGTTTTAATGGGGACACAGAGCAAAGAGAATCCACTGCTGTGCTGATATGGGGTGCACACCATCAAAGATTACTCTCCATAATTTTTCCTACCACCACCTTTCTTCAGAACTCAAGCGGTGAAAGCAAGCAGGTTAAATCCCTGGCAAAATGCCCCAAAACCAAGGTTTGCTATGGAAATTCATCTTTGAGAATGAGGAACTCTTTCCCACCTGAGATACTAAGGGAAGCATAATGAAGTGATATTAATAGTACCCGGTCAGGACTTGATTCCATTCATGGAGGATCTTATATCTCAGCCTACAGGAAAGACTCCACATGAGTAGGTATATAATGTAATCATTATGCTCATGAAACGAGTGTTTGAGACAGCAAAATTAGGGAGGTGGTAGACAGCTTGTTCACACAAGCTGTCCTCTTTTTCACAGGGATTCCTTCTTCAGAGAAATCCTTGGGAATAACTGTTAGTCTTGAGATGAAGGATGTCACTGAGGTACCTGGTCTCAATTCCTCACAAAGTCAAATAGTTTCCAGTAATCTGGTGGCATTCGGTTACTTGTGGTGAGGCTAGGGGTATCTTTCAAAACAAGGCAGCAAAGAAGGATGCTTAACTGGGTCATCGATGAAATCTTTGTATTTTCTCAAGAGTGATGTTGACTTAAACGTCTTGCACAATAGGGTTACACTGAGGACAATCTCAGGTGACAGCTGTGTAACCAGACTTGAGCTTCAGGATTGCCCTGACGTTGCTCTAGTGGAGGTGTACTGTAAGCCAGATGGGCTACAGTGGTGCTCCACCCTGAGGAAGCACTTCTCCATGAAATAGGCAAATTCAATTGCAATCTCTTGACCCATTTCAAAAAGCCAGGCACTTTAACCAAGTCTTCCATACCAAAAATTAACTATTTGTGTCTATCAAAGAAATATTCCACCCATGCTGGTTGGATGGAATGCACCATGCTACAATAGAGCATGACTAGAACTGGGAGACATGGCCATCGTTCATAAATGCTGTGGGCCACCTAGGCATGGGACTCTCAATTCTGGATGGAAAATGTTGGTGAAACAATATGAGTACCTTTTCTCTTGAGAACCGTATGAGACTGGAGCAATGAGAGTCCACAGATGCTCTAAGCCTGGTGTTTGATGATGAACATGGTCCCCTCTCAACTCAGGGAGAATAGGATTTTGTCGAGCATGAGAGAAACTAGAGATGCAGGCCATGAATACATACTAAAGCATTCTTTTGCTAAACTTCTTCCAGATGATGACCTTAGCTGCACATCTTCTTAGGAATCTGGAAATGTGAAATGGTAATGCAAACAAGAAGAGAGGGCTCCTGTCATATTGAGAGGACATACACACAAAGAAGTAGATATGATATCCACTTGTGAATTCATGAATACTTTTGGAAGCTCAAGCTCTTAAAACTCATTGATTAAGAACAGAAGAGTAGATACAAACATTTGAAATATTGCACAGCAAAACCAATTATTACACTGTAGGCCCATTTATTACTTGAGATATGAGAGGACCCGCATCCAATATATGTCACCTTGAACTATTGAATGCTATGTTCTTTGGATCCTAATGCATGGGATCACACACTTGGCGCCAAAAACGAGGTCCCAACTGACATTTATTGTCTCGTCAGGTTGCATTTAGTAGAAAGTTCAGTGGGAAGTGGACTACCAGTGGAAGTAACAGTTTCCTCTTTGATGTGCGGTTTTAAACTCCTCTTCAGCCTGATATTGGCCTGGAAATAAGGTGCTATTTCAAGAACAAAGGTCTGTAATGAGGTGGGTGGCCACGAATCCTCTGGAATTGAAATATTCTCCCAAACGTTTTTGCTGCTTGTCTTGTGGTGAGCATCTGACTGTGCTTGCTACATATATGCAATTGGCACATACTATTGTTCGGTCAATGATGAGTACTTTATATTGATTTGAGGAACGATAATGACTTCAATATCGAGTACAATGGCATGACACTGAGGCCCAGCCTAAAAGACAGTTTTATAATCCAACCTAGGTAGGATGATGATGGTCTCTTCGGTACGATCTAGTTTGGTGCTGGAGGACTTGACCTAAGGGAGGCCATCTTGGAGAGCATGAAACTATGGTACTCTATAAAATTCCTGATGTTTTTCTTATACTTTAATTCACAACCCAGGTACTGGCCATTTTAGCATCCCATACAGATCACCACATTACACTTCATGTCTTTCACTGGGAAATTCTGCTCAGAATGGCTGCATGGCATGCACCGTCGTAAAGGAGTGCCTGACTTTGATTGGCTGTCTTGAACAATGCTTTACCAGTCACCAAGAATCATCATTCAAGGAGATATACTTGGTCTGGAAGGCAAGTTGGACCTTCAGCAATGCATGCAGTTGTCCTCTCAAGGCATTCTTGAAGCAGGAGAAAAAGGCGCCTTGAGAACATCTTGGCAAGCTGTTCTAGGAGCCCCATACTTCTTTTTCAAACAGAGGGTAAATACCCTTTGTCATGCTCTAAGGACAGAGAGATTCATTCTTGTTTAAAAATAATCAATGTTTCTGTGGCTCATGATGTGAATGGGCATGTCCTCTGTGGCACCCTCTTGTAAAAGTTCTACAGGTTTTAATTGGGACAGAGCAAAGAGAATCCACTGCTGTGTTGATGTGGGGTGCACACAACTCAAAAATTACTCTCCATAATTTTTCCTACCACCACCTTTCTTCAGAACTCAAGCTGTGAGAGCAGACAGGTTAAATCACTGACAAAATACCCCATAACCAAGTTTTGCTATGGAAATCCATCTTTGAGAATGAGGAACTCTTTCCCACCTGAGATACTAAGGGATGCATAATGAAGCGATATCAATAATACTCGGTCTGGACCTGATTCCATTCATGGAGGAACTTATCTCTCAGCCTACAGGAAAGACTCCACATGAATAAGTATATAATGTTATGATTATGTTCATGAAACGAGTATTTGAGACAGCACAATGAGGGAGGCAGTAGACAGTTTGTTCACAGAAGATGTCCTCCTCTTTTTCACAGGGATCCCTTCTTCTGAGAAATCCTTGGGAATAACTGTTCATTTCTGGATGAAGGATGTCAACCAGTTGCCTGGACTCAATTCCTCACAAAGTCAAATAGTCTCCAGGAATCTGGTGACATTTGGTTACTCGTGGTGAAGCTAGGGGTCTCTTTCAAAATGAGGCATCAAAGGAGGATGCTTAACTGGGTGAGCGATGAAATGTTTGTCTTTTCTCTACAGTGGTGCTGACTTAAATGTCTTGTGCAATAGGGGTATGCTGAGCACCATCACAGGTGACGGTGTTTAACCAGACTTCAGCTTCATGATTGCCCTGATATTGTTCTAGTGGGGGAGTACTGTAAGCCAGGTGGGCTATAGTGGTGCTCCACCCTGAAGAAGCACTTCTCCATGAAATAGGTAAATTCAATTGCAATCTCTTGACCCATTCCAAAAAGTCGGGCACTTTAATCAAGTGCTCCATACCAAAAATTAACTATTTGTGTCTCTCAAAGATATATTTGGCCGACCCTGTTGGATGGCATGCAACATACTACAATAGAGCATGACTAGAATTGGGAGTCATGGCCATCATACATAAGTCCTGTAGGCCACCTAGGCATGGGACTCCCGAATCTGGTTGCAAAATGTTGCTAAACCAATATGAGTACCTTTTCTCTTGAGAACCGTATTAGACTGGAGCAATGGGAGTCCACAGATGCTCTAAGCCTGGGGTTGGATGATGTACATGGTCTCCTCTAAACTCAGGGAGAAGAGAATTTTGACGAGCATGAGAGAAACTGAAGAGGCAGGCCATGAATAAATGCTAAAGCATTCTTTCGCTAAACTTCCGCTAGACGATGGCCTTAGTTGTACATCTTCTTAGGAATCAGGAGATGTAGAATGGTGATGCAAACAAGAAGAGAGGGCTCCTGTCATATTGAGAGGGCATACACACAAAGAAGTAGATATGATATACACTTGTGAATTCATGAACACTCTTGGAAGATCAAGCAGTGAAAACTCATTGATTAAGAGCAGCAGGGTAGATACACACATTTGAATATTACACCGCAAAACCAATTATTACACTGTAGGCCTATTCATTACTTGAGATATGAGAGGACCCACATCCAATAAATATCACCCTGAACTATTGAATGCTGTGTTCTTTGTATGCTAATCCATGGGATCACACACCTGGCCCAAAAAACGAGGTCCCAACTGACATTTATTATCTCGTCAGGATATACTTGAAAGAAAGTTCTGTGGGAAGATGTCTTTCAGTGGAAGTATTAGTTTCCTCTTTGACATGTGGTTTTTCACTCGTCTTCAGCCTGAAATCGGCCTGGAAATAACCTGGTATTTCTAGAACAAAGGTCTGTAATGAGGTGGGTTACCATGGATCCCCTGGAATTGAAATATTCTCCCAATCACTCTTGCTGCTTGTCTTGTGGTGAGCCTGTGACTGTCCTTGTTACATATATGCAATTGGCAGATACTATTGTTGGGTCAATGATGAGTACTTTATATTGCCTTGAGGAACGATGATGACTTCAATATCAAGTACAATGACATGATGCTGAGGCCCAGCCTAGAAGACAGTTGTGTAATCCAACCTGGAGAGGATGATGATGGTCCCTTCGATATTATCTAGTTTGGTGCTGGAGGACTTGACGTAAGGGAGGCCATCTGGGGGAGCATGCAACTATGCTACTCCATAAAATTCCCCTTGCTTTCCTTATACTTTAATTCTCAACCCAGATACTGGCCATTTTAGCATCCCTTGTTGATCACCACATGTCACTTCATTCTTTCAGTGGAAAATTCTGCTCAGAATGGCTGCATGGCATGCACCGTCATAAAGGAGGGCCTGACATTGATTGGCTCTCTTGACCAATGCTTTACCAGTCACCAAAGGTCATCATTCAAAAAGGTATTCTTGGTCTAGAAGGTAAGCTGTACCTTCAGTAAGGCATGCAGTTGTCCTCTCAAGGCATGGTGGAAGCAGGAGATAAAGGCACTCTGAGATCATCTTGGCATGCAATTCTAGGAGCCCAATACTCCTTTTTCAAACAGAGGGTGAATACCCTATTTTCATGCTCTAAAGAAAGAGAGATTCATTCTTTTTTAAAAATAATCAATGTATCTGTGGCTCATGATGTGAAAGGACATGTGTGCTGCACCCTCTCTTGAAACTTAAAGAGATTTTAATTTGGACACAGAGCAAAGAGAATCCACTGCTGTGCTGATGTGGTGTGCACACACTCCAGTACCCAGTCTGGACTAAATTCCATTCATGAAGGAACTTATCTCTCAGCCTACAGGAAAGACTCCACATGAGTAGGTATATAATGTTATCATTATACTCATGAAATGAGTGTTTGAGACAGCAAATGAGGGAGGTAGTAGTCAGCTTGTTCACACAAGGTGTCCTCTTCTTTTTCACAGTGATAACTACTTCAGAGATATCCTGGGGAATAACTGTTAGTCTCTGGATGAAGGATGTCACCCAGGTGCCTGGTCTCCATTCCTCACAAATTCAAATAGTCTCCAGGAATCTGGTGGCATTCGGTTACTTGTGCTGAGGCTAGGGGTCTCTTTCAAAATGAGGCAGCAAAGGAGGACGCTTAACTGGGTCAGCGATGAAATTTTCATCTTTTATCTAGAGTGATATGACTAAAAGTCTTGTGTAATTGGATTACGTTGAGGACAATCTCAGGTGACAGGTGTGTAACCAGACTTTAGCTTCAGGATTACCCTGACATTGGTCTAGTGGGGGTGTACTGTAAGCCACATGGACTAAGGTGCTCCACCCTGAGGAAGCACTTCTCCATGAAATAGGCAAATTCAATTGCAATGTCTTGAACCATTTCAAAAAGCCGGGCACTTTACCCAAGCCTTTCATACCAATATTTAACTATGTGCGTCTCTCAAAGAAATATTCGGCCCACGCTGGTTGGATGGTATGAACCATGCTACAATAGAGCATGACTGGGATTGGGAGTCATGGCCATCATTCATAAATCCTGTGTGCCACCTAGGCACGGGATTCTCAATTCTGGATGCAAAATGGTGCTGAACAAATGTGAGTACCTTTTGTCTTGAGATCCATATTAGACTGCAGCAATGAGAGTCCACAGATGCTTTAAGCCTGGTGTTTGATGACGTACATGGTCTCCTCTAAACTCAGGGAGGAGAAGATTTTGTCGAGCATGGAAAAATCTGGAGAGGCAGGCCATGAATACATGCTAAAGCATTCTTTCACTAAACTTCTGCCATACGTTGGCCTTAATAGCACATCTTCTTAGGAATCAGGAAATGTGGAATGGTGATGCAAACAAGAAGAGAAGGCTCCTGTCATATTGAGAGGGCATACACACAAAGAAGTAGATATGATAATCTCTTGTGAATTCATGGACACACTTGGAAGCTTAAGCGGTGAAAACTCATTGATTAAGAGCAGCAGGGTAGAAACAAACATTTGAAATATTGCACAGCAAAACCAATTATTACACTGTAGGCCTTTTCATTACTTGAGATATGAGAGGACCTGCATCCAATAAATGTCAGTCTGAACTATTGAATGCTGTGTTCTTTGTATCATAATCCATGGGATCACACACTTGGCCCAAAAAACGAGGTCCCAAATGAAATTTATTGTCTCGTCAGGATATATTTGGAAGACAGGTCTGTGGGAAGAGGCCTCTCAGTGGAAGTATCAGTTTCCTCTTTGACATGCGGTGTTCCACTTCTCTTCAGCCTGAAATTGGCCGAAATAAGCTGCTGTTTCAAGAACAAAGGTCTGTAATGAAGTGGGTGGCCACGGATCACCTGGAATTGAAATATTCACCCAAACGCTCTTACTTCTTGTCTTGTGATGAGAATGTGACTGTGCTTGCTACATATATGCAATTGGCAGATACTATTGTTGGATCAATGATGAGTACTTTATATTGACTTGAGGAATGATGATGACTTCAATATCAAGTACAATGACATGATGCTGAGGCCCAGCCTAGAAGACAGTTGTGTAATCCAACCTGGAGAGGATGATGATGGTCCCTTCGATATTATCTAGTTTGGTGCTGGAGGACTTGACATAAGGGAGGCCATGTTGGGGAGCATGTAACTATGCTACTCCATAAAACTCCCATGTTTTTCTTATCCTTCAATTCTCAGCACAGGTCGTGGCCATTTTAGCATCCCTTGCTGATCAACACATCACACTTCATGCCTTTCAATGGAAAATTCTGCTCAGAATGACTACATGGCATGCACCGTCGTAAAGGAATGCCTGACGTTGATTGGCTGTCTTGACCAATGCTTTACCAGTCACCAAGGGTCATCATTCAAGGAGGTATTCTTGGTCTGGAAGGCAAGCTGGACCTTCAGCAATGCATGCAGTTGTCCTCTCAAGGCATTGTTGAAGCAGGAGAAAAAGGTGCCTTGAGATCATCTTGGCATGCTGTTCTAGGAGCCCCATACTTCTTTCTCAAATGGAGGGTGAATACCCTTTTGTCCTGATCTAGGGAAAGAGAGCTTCATTCTTGTTTAAAAATAATCAATGTATCAGTGGCTCATGATGTGAATGGACATGTCCTCTGGTGAACCCTCTCTTGAAACTTATAGAGGTTTTAATGGGGACACAGAGCAAAGGGAATCCACTGCTGTGCTGATGTAGGGAGCACACCACTCAAAAATTACTCTCCAAAATTTTTCCTACCATCACCTTTTTCAGAACTCAAGCTGTGAGAGCAAACAGATTAAATCCCTGGCAAAATGCCCCATAACCAAGGTTTGCTATGGAAATCCATCTTTGAGAATGAGGAACTCTTTCCCACATCAGGTACTAAGGGATGCATAATGAAGCGATATCAATAATACCCGGTCTGGACTTGATTCCATTCCTGGAAGAACTTATCTCTCTCAGCCTACATGAAAGAGTCTACATGAGTAGGTATATAATGTTATCATTATGTTTGTGAAATGAGTGTTTGAGACAGCACAATTAGGGAGGTAGTAGACAGTTTGTTAACAGAAGCTGTCTTCCTCTTTTTCACAGGGATCCCTTCATCAGAGAAATCCTTGGGAATAACTGTTAGTCTCTGGATGAAGGATGTCACCCAGGTGCCTGGTCTCAATTTCTCACAAAGTCAAATATTCTCCAGTAATCTGGTGGCATTCGGTTACTTGTGGTGAGGCCAGGG